TTTTATTTACTTGAAGTTTAGATAACATTTAAATGTCAGAATCAAAAAAAAAAAGGTTGTAAATATTGTATTTTATCAGAATTAAATTTTCACGAACATTTAATTGCATACAAGAATGAGACGAAAAAACATAACATACTTATTTACTATAAGTTGCTTTTGTATTAATCCAAATTTGACTACCATCAGTTACTTTTTAAAAACCTTGCTATCACAAAATTTTTCTCTAAAATCAATCAATTCATTGTTTGTATTTCGCTGATAAGAGTTTATGCATCATAAACATAATGAAAACAAACATAACATTATAGGCAAATGTCCTGAATGGGACTTTTTTTAAAAAGAAAAAAAAGAAAAAGATGCAATTGTGCACGTTTTCACAAAGAATATACAAGACCTTCAAGATGAAAATTTAAGAATTTTTATCATAATATAAATGTTATTCAGTCAAAAGAACTTTTCGCGATTATAATTATTTTACAATTATATGGTTTTAAACATGAAAAAATAAAAAAGCATAAATTTTTGTCTCAGATTTCAAATGAATAATTATGTGAAAATTTCCAAAATTAAAATAATAAACTTAATGTTGATCATGAAAATCCTCAAGAGTTTCAGTTATACTTTAAAATCAGCGTTAAAAAAATTTGCTTCCGATATCATACCGAAAGATTAAAAATAACCAAAATTTAAATATTCAACTGATACAGTAATTAAGAAAAAAGAAATCCATAATGAATATAACTATTTTACAGCATAATACTTTTATTTAAAAACAAAACACACTGTAATATAAATTTCATCCAATTGTAAATGTAATACATTACCTTTATTGTTCAAAATTAACGTCGACAACTTTGTGGTAAAACAAAAGTTAAAAATACTTAATTGTTATTAATAAAATCATTTTCTTTTCATAACTTTAAACTGTTTGATACAGTTTGAGTTCTAATTATTAGTCTATATTTGCTTGAAAATATATTTCCAAGTGGTCGTTAAATGCTTTTATGAATAATTCAGCAACAGTTTTTGAATGCACCACAAAAAAACAAGGATGAACTTCACACTAGTTTCCCTCTTTCTCCAAACTTCAACATGACAACATCTTTCTTCAACATGATGACTTTCTGCCACAGCAGATTTAAAGTAGTCCTTGCTGAATAATCACTGTTAATTCATTCGCAGTAAGGATCGAACTTAAAACTCCATCAGAGTGTGCAATTTCCATTTGTAGTGTCTTGATAGTAGATTTCCTTGAAGATGAAAAGCTATACTGAAATTTAAAAGGAAAATAAATTAGATTTTGCAGTGAAAAAAAAAACTATTAAACATTGAATATTTATTTGAAACTTTAATTATTTAATTTGAAAATGTTTTTTAGAAATTGTAATATCCTTTACAACAAAATTAAATGGTATATTCCAGTATCGATACCAGTGTCAAAAAAATTTCGTCAATGTCACACAAAAAATAACACAGAGGGAAGGAGATCAACTAAAAGAATTTAGCTCATAATCACTCCCAAGAAATCTATCATATATTTAAAAAGAAAATCAAATCACAAAACATTTCACTTTCTTTTATTAGACCAGAAAATAACTACTCGCTATGTGGCAAATCAACAAAAAGAGTGCCAAAAAATATTAAATAAACTTATCTTAAAATTCGCATAAGTACATCAATATAAAAAGATACTATAAGAATTCAAATTCATCCATTTATGGTTGAAAAAACCATGTAGGAGAATTCTTTAACAATTCACATATTTCAAAGTTGTAATATATATATTAATTATATTTTGCCCCTCCTCCCAAATATGTTTACACAACGTTCTTTAAAAGTCAGTATGCATAATATTTTTATTTTTTTTTTGTTTAGTTAAATTTTTACTCTCAGATTATATCGAATAGAAATTTATTTAAAAACTTTATTAAACAATAATTATTTATTAGACTAATTATTATTATAATAATTATTTAATAAATATTTATTAAACTATAAGAAACATTACAGAATAGGACAAACTCGAACGGTATAACCCCAGGCAAACATATACATATTTTTTAAAAAAAATTGTAAGTTTAAAATCTATTTGGCGAATGCAGTTGGCGGGACGGATCACAATACTGAAATATCCCCAAGAAATTTAAATAAAATTGTTTAATTCTTTTTTTTAACAATATTTTAGTCATGGAATTTTAATACGGTGATAATATTGTTTGTATTGACTGTTAAACATTCTAGAATGTAATGGTTTAAACTGAGCTAAAAGTAGCAGATCATTAATTTAATTTTCTAATTGTTTTAACTTGGCTAATTTATTTACAGACAATTATTTTTATCTTTTTCATTGTTGCAGAAAAACTTTGTCAGGGTCGAATTGCTTAGCAAACATTGTTTTACGAGCATATTTTGAACCAATTACATTACTTATTATTTATATATAAAAAAGTGGCGAAAAGTGTTAAATAAACAATTGCTTATTTTCTTCCATTACTTATTTTAAAATTCGATTAATGTAAAAGAACATCAATGTAAAAAGATGCTATGAGGATTCAAAATCATCAATTCATGGTTGAAAATATCATGTAGAAGGAAAATTCTCTAACAATGCACAGATTTCAAAGTTGTAAATATATATTAAATATAGTTCACCCCTTCCCCCAAATATTTTGACATAGCATTCTTTAAAAGTCAGTATGCATACCCAACATTTGTCAAATATTTTTTTTCTTAAAGTTTAACTAAATTTTTACAGCATTAGATTATTTATAATGGGAATTTATTTGAAAAATATAATCTAATCAAAGCTCTACATTCACCATAATCATGATTTTGAATAGACCATATTATTGTTTATTTTTTAATCATTTACAAATTAATATAAATAATGATGCATCAAAAACATACAGATTAATCTATATTCAAATAAAAACCAGTCTATATTTAAATAAAAATGTTTAATTCATTGTTGTACAATATTTTAAGCATGACATTTTAATATGCTATCAATATTGTTTGTATTAAACTTTAAACATTCAACAATATAATCATTTTATCTGCGCTTAAAGTAGCAGATTATATATATATATATATATATATATATCTCTTTAAAGGATAAATATTTGAAGGATTTTGTAAGCTAAGTGATTTGTTTGAAGAANTATATATATAATTTGATTTAACGCAACTAATTTGTTTACAGACAATACGTTTCAACAAAGAAGTTAACTACTACTACGAGTGAACAATAATGATCACATATTTACTTAGTTTATTGGATGCATGATCAATAAATTAATTCTTAAATGTTTCAATTTAGCGGTCAAGTTTATTAAGTACACTGAATGTTTCTACAACATCTACAATCTCAAACACATCGTGCTTTAAATTACTTTTCAAGCTGATTTTCAACTCAAGGAAAAAACAATTTTTACGATACTACTTTATCATGTAACTATCATTGAAATTTATAAAGTTTACGAAAAACTACTAAATTATAAATACCTTAAATAGTTGAAACGAAAGCTGCTGAGCGAAAACAAGATGGTCATCAACAGTTGAAAAAGTTTTTCGAGTTCAATCGTTCGCAAACTACCACTAATATTAGAGTGCCATAAAATTACATTGGCTGAAAATGATATTTTAAGTAATATTTAATTTATCGTTTTCTTTCATAAATAAATGTTTATTTATTAATAATATGGGATAACCTTTCGCAAAAATGTGGCGCTGGACCAAAAGTAATGAAATAGATGATAATTTTGAAAGTTCAAATGCTAGATCGAATACTATTTAATTTTATATAATATTAGTTCTAATATTAGAAGATAGGATTCAAGAGTCTTGCGTTTTCAAGCACGGCAGTATTATATTGCATCTTTCTAATATTAGATCATATCTTTTTGATACCTGGGAATCCTACTATCATCCCAGGACGAGGACCAAGAACTTGGATGATTGTTTACACGATTCAAGCTTCAAGTAAAACAAGTTTCCATCAATTTCAGTCAATCTTCGTCTAAGAACTTAGATTTTATAAACGGGCCTTTCTAGTTTGTCTACGGTAAGAACTACTCCAACCACAAAGTCTGAGGCTGTCTGCTGCTATGGAAACAAGAATAGTGCATTTCAGGAGGGTAGCTTCTCTTAATTCTAGGGTTAACACAATTGACTGAATAAAACGATTCACATTCTCTCACCGACCAGAGCCAAAACCTGTCCTAAACAGTGAAAACCCCTACTTGCAATAATTAATCCTCGTTACCATAGTTACCGCCTTGGGTCCAGACGAATGGCTAGAGGAGTTCTTAAACTGTACCTTATTCTGAAATCTAAACAAATACCGGTTTTAAAAACTACTTGTTAATCTCTAAGAACTTTTTTAAACAATATCATTGGTCAAGATAAGGCAAATCAATATAAATGATATGAAATTCTGTACTCTCGTATATCATATTAGTAGGTATACATATTCTTTCGAGGGAATACTCTCGGATACCGTGTGAAGCGTTATTTCCGCCAATCGAGAAGGGGCTAAGCAAAAAGTAATGAATAACACACTGTTTTGCTATAGTAATATTTTTTTCTGATAATGGACAACTAGATAAAATTTTTATTTTGTGACTTAGCTAAATTAACGGAACCATAATGAATGTACTGAATATAAACCTTTTCTCAAACATATACAAAGAAGCTCTTTCCTTGCAATATGTTGCTCATGAGTCAAATAGTTAAGAGGCGTCTTGTCTATTAAAGTATCATTTCTTATGCTTAAATTATTAGTTTATTAATGCTAATATAAAACGAAAAAGATACGAAAGCATATCAACATTTTCAATGCTACTGTTGATTGATTTTTAAAACATGTTATGAAATAAGTCAAAATTTCAATGAATATTGCTTATCGATGTATTTTTTTCATGAATAAATTGAGTTTAGACAAATTAAAATGGCTACATAACACAGTGAAATATTAATTATCCTATTTATCTTTTCAGAAAATTCAGATGATGGCATTCTATTTCGATTCCATATGAAGAAGCACATTCATCATTTTGTATTTCTTTTCTAACTTGATGTAGAAATAAAAAAAATTCAATCAGTTTCATCAAGTTGATTTTCAAACACATTAAGGCAAAATATAGTTGTTTGATGTAATAAATTTAATAAATAAACTACTTGTTTAAAAAAAAAAATTCGAAAAATACTGTCCAACTCCACCACAGCTGAAGCACAAAATCAATTTCACTGTAAACGAGGGTGCTCTATATCCAAATTATTAGAAAAATCTCTTGTCGCGAGCTAAAAGTAGGAAATAGTGATTATTAATGTACATAAATTATGAACTAACTAAATATGTAGCGTCCCATAAAGTTTCCTAACAGCAAACTTCTTCCTATAACAAAACATTTCAATCAAAACGTTAAATAACATCTATTCGTATAACGCAGTGGTTGTCTCCTTATAGCGATCCTATAATATTCAGTCCAAGTGTTTAATACAATAAAAGCGTTAAAGTGAAGAAATTGTTGCTCATATGCAACGCCCCATACCTAAAACTAATATTAACCTATAATATTCAAACTCGGTCAAGTATTATATAATAACATACTATACTAAAGAAAATAATTATGCTTAAAGTAGGGGGCCCACATGGTGGCACTATATGTAAGTATCTATTTCTAGTGCGTATATTCGCGTTAAATTAGAAATTGTTGCTTATACAATATGGCTCTATATCTCTCCTTATTAGGTATTATATTATAACAAACTATAGCGCCCAACCAAGGAAATTATTTTAGGGGGCCCACAATGTAACATAGTATGTTTTTTAAGTGTATAATACAATGAAAGCGCTAAAAGTAAAGAAATTATTGCTTATAAACTGTATATAGCCCCATATCTCCTTTTAATATTAACCTATAATTTTCGAATTCGGTCAGATGCTATACTACCACACCAAATGAAGTAATTATAAACGAATAAGGGGGGCCCACAGTGTGGCACAAAATTTATGTAGGCGTGTGTAAATCACTAAGTGCGTATAATGGCGATAAAATGAAGAAATATCTGCTCATATATTGTATTTGTAAGGACCTTATTATTAACCTATAATTTTTAAACTTTGTCAGATATTTACTATATTATACTAAACTACCATTCGAAAGAAAATAATTATAGATAAATTAGGGAGGTCACAATGTAGCACAATATGGAGGCATATATAAGTGCTTATACTAGCGTTAAAAGGAAGAAATTGTTGCTCATATACTGTACATATATATGGCACCATATCTTCACTTAATATGAAACTTAAGTGCTTATGCTCGGTCAGGTATTATATCATAACATACTCTTCTACCTTACCAAAGGAAATCAAAATACGCAAATTAGGGTGCCCACAATGTGAAGTAATATGTAAGTATATATTTCTAAGTGCACATAATAGCGGTGAAATAATATTTACCTATAATTTTCAAACTCTGTCAAACATTATATTATAACATACTCTACTTCCATACCGAAGGAAATATTTATAAACAAATTGGGAGGCAAAGAATCAAAGGAAATACGAAAAATGAGGAGGCCTCATCACAATAAAAGCTGTACATATATATGGTTCCATATCTCTCCTTAGTATTAACCTGCAATATTCAAACTCTACCTGAAGAGTTAGGTATTGTATTATAACATACTATACTACAATACTAAAGGAAATAATCATACAATGTAACATAGTTTGGTTTTTAAGTGTGTAATACAATAAAAGCGTTAAAATGAAGAAAGTATTGCTTATTAACTATACATATATATGTGTGTGTGTGTGGGTTGTGTTGTCCCATATCTCTTCTTAATATCAAGCTATAACAGGGTGCGTAGCCGTATCTCTCAAGAAAATATAAACACCTTTAAAGTACTTTTTAATCACTCAAAAAATGTTTTTAAGCACTTTATACATGAACAAAATGCAAAACAATTTTCAAAGACTTTACGTGTTCATGATAAGATAACTAGTTTCTGGCAAAGTACTCTTTTCTTGATTATATTAGCTACCATAAAAAGACTGAAAGAGTTTTTCGGTTTGATTTCAGAGAGTGGAAAATGAAACCTAAAATTGAGAATATCTTGCAAAATGCAGTAGAGTTGCACATGAGAGTGCAAGAATCTCACCGAATCCTGTTCATTAGGCGCACATGCGGACTCCCAAGTATTTCATCAAATAAGCAACATGATTGGCGATATCCTACGTTACTGACCGATGGTACGCCGAAATGGATTATGGTTGAATGAATTGTGAAAACGTTGAATAGAACAATGTGAAAACCACGCTTTTGCATAATACGCAGCGAAACTCGACAGGGCAAAAAGAAAAACAAACTTATTTTCGGAAAAGGAAAAATAAGCACTTTTTAAAAACACCCAATGGAAAAAGCACCATTATGGGATTTTAAAAAACGAAAATAAGCACCTTTAAGCACTTTTTGAAAACGCTACGCCCTATGCATAATATTCAAACTCGGTCAGGCATTACATTATAACATACTAAACTACCATACCATAGGAAATCATTATGCACAATTCAGGATATCTTAACGTGCCAAACTGAAATGAATCTTTCATAACAAAATGAAAAGAGGGGTCGAGACAGGAACAGTTATGCCATTGTTCGAGTGAAAAAAAATTATTTGTTTGGAAAATTTGCAGAATAAATAGCTTTAAAAGGCCATCTATATACAGGTCACCAGTACTTCTGACATGAAAGATTGACCATGAAAAATAGTAAAGAATATGGATGTTGCAATTCCTAGGTTACCAATTTATTTTCTTCACAGCTATTTATGGGTTTTCAACCCTCAGTGATTTGTTCCAGAATTTGAATGTGGGTAAAAATTGTAAAGAAACATAGGTCCAATTTAATTTCAATCATATTTATTAGAAAATGAGCTTTAATTTATAGTATTTTATATGAAGTTCTAATGACTGCCTAGAACTCTTGATACTTTAATTAATTTATATTTGAAATATTGTCCGTAGAGCGTTGTTAAAACAATTTTATTTAATTGAAAACAGAAGTTCTTTTAAAAAACTTCAATATCTATTTCAATATTTAAAGAATATTACACCAGTTAACCAAAATCATTAGCAAGCGATACTTAAATTTTTTTTAAACGTGTGTAGAAAAAGTATTGATGCATTATTTTAAATTTAAAAGCAGTTTTATTAAGGTAATTTCCTAAATTAAACTAACCAGTTTAAAAAACTATTGATTTTGTATTTATTACACTTTTGAAAGTAATAGGGTATCTAAACTCCCTTAGTTATTTTTCAATAAATAAAAGTAAATGTTAGGCGAATAAAAACAAATCCAGTGTGTAAACAATTCTTGATTGCACTTTTCGAAGGACTTCTTTTTACATATTTAAATTCACGATTAACATCAGTACTTGAAAGCTACTGAAATTTTTTTAAAAATTCTTGCGATTTTTATGCATGCACAGCCATTACAGCCATTTTGACCTAAGATAAATCTCATATTAAATATTAAGCAAATTTACAGATTTGCTAACTTAAAACACTTACAATTTTAAAAAAAATTTCTATGAGATTAGGGGTATTTCAGCAACTTGTAAACAAATTTAATAACCCTATTCTTAAAATACTAATTAAGATTAATAGAATATGTAATGAAGCAAATGATATTCTCTTAGTATCTATTGAATGCTATGAATTTGACAATACACCTAAAAAATATATTTGCATTTTTTCTAAAAGTTAATATACGAGTGCTTGTGACACAAGCACTTTATATTATAATTTCAAAAATTAAGTATTTTACCTATAATATTCAAATTAAAATAGTAAATTCTACCGGAAAATTTAAAATTCAACGCTTTAAATGTTCAAGTTCAATGAAATCGGATACTATCTAGCGAAATCACAAGAAATCATTTCTAGAATAGACGAAAAAACATAACATCCTTTTTTATTATAAGTTGCCTCTACTAATGGTAAAAGTTTGATACTATCAATTACTTTTTGAGAATGTTGCTATCACAAAACTTTTGTTCAAAATCAATCAATTCCATTTTTGGTATTTTGATGATAAGGGATTATGCATTATAACATAGTAAAAACAAAACATAAAATTATGTGTAAATGTCTTAAATGGGACTTTTTTTAAAAAAAAAAAAGATGATGCAATTACACAACATGTTGTTTTCGCAAAGAATATACAAACATTTCAGATGAAAGTTTAAGCATTATTCTTTTCTGCATTGATTGGGAATTTTCATTAAAATGTAAATGTTAATCAGCTTAAAGTCAAAGAAATTTTGACAATTATATTACTGTAAACATGATAAAAATAAAAAAGCAAACTTTTTGTCTAACATTTCAAATGAATAATCATGAGAAAATTTCTGAAACTAAAATAATAAAAATACTTACAATTTTGAAATAAACTTTAAAATCAGTGTTAAAAGAAAATTGCTTTAGATATCGTGCCAACTGATTAAAATAACCAAAATTTTAAATATATTCAACCGTTTTCATGAAACTTAAGCACTTATAAAGATTTGTTAACGTTACATTTTATAAAATTTTATCAATACGAATATCATACCTGACAAATTAAAATTTTGAACATTTATTACTAAGTCTTAGAAAAAATTACTCACTAGAGCAGGGGTAGGCAACGCGGCGCCCTCGATCGATTTTTAATCCGACCTCGCTGGACTAATGTAAATGTTTAATAGCCAGAGCGATTTACTTAACTCTTGTCAAACGGCGATGTACAGCAAGTAGTCAGCTGAGTTTAGGATTGTGCATGATTATCTGCAAAATATGCGCCCTCGGTGATTTTCAAATTTAGTATTGCGCCCTTAAGGACAAACAGGTTGCCGACCCCTGCACTAGAGTAATGAAGAAAAAAAATCTAAGATAAAAACAATTTCACATCATAATAATTTTATTGAAAAACAAAACACAGTATAAAATAAACTTCAATTGTACTAAATGCAATACATTACCTTCATTATTTAAAATTAACGTCGATAACCTTTTGTTTAAACACAATTATAGTATTAATAATAGTTATTAAAATAAAGT